TCTCAAGCGCGACACATTTCCCAATGATGTGCTCGAGTACTTTAACCTGATTCGCGTAGCCGCAATTGTTAGAAAATTTATCGTACATACATACGAATTCCCAAGAACCAACATGCTTGAATCAACGAGAATTAAACATAAACATAAACACGGAAGCGTACCTTACATAACGGAATCGAATCTTCGAATCTCCACTGGATTTGGGACAGGTCTTCCAAAGAATCCGCAGTTCCTTAATTATCTCTCTAACGATGGATTTTAGAAGAGACGGAATGATTGCGTTTCTTTGGGGACCACGACCCTTTATATAACTGTAGAGTCCAGTTATATTATAATTGTGATTCAGCCCCATCAATAAATCACAATTAAACCCTAATTGTCTCTACACATTAGGCCCATAATTATAGTCTAATACCCATAAGTCCAACCCAATAATCTTTATTAGATCACAATTAATTTGGACTTTCTTTTAGATAGCCATACACATTTATGTCACATATGTGAGCCCACATAATTATTGAAATAATTCCAACAATCTCCCACTTGGGCCACATATGCTATATACCTTATAAATGTGTATACCTTATGAGCTCTAATATTGCTATCATTATAAAAGGTATTCCTTACAATCTTGTCCATTGACCATACTAATATAGGACTAAAGAGGCTTTCGTCACATTGAGCGTGTTTAAACCCAACAGTAATCACATATACCAATATAGCCAAACGACATAGATCAAATCATGGTGTGTAGCATGGAAATTACATGTAATGTGATCTTAACATGCCTATTTCCAACTGGTCCTACTTTAAACTTTATTGAGACCAAACCTTAACATAATTGTACAAAGCGCAACCAAATACTTTATTTCTGCAGAAAACTTAATACACAACTTTGTGTCCAAACATATCATAGAGCTACCAAAATGTGTTTATATATACACATAAATACAAACTCCCACTGAACCATAATATCCTTAAATGACATAACACTTACATGAGCAATGCTCATGAATACCTTATGTGTTAATCCTTTAGTAAGCGGATCCGCAATTGTGGAGTTTATCTTAATATGCTCTATATACTGTTCACTTTGTACCTTTAACAACAAAGAACTTTCACAAGCTTTTGTTGTTGTTCGAAATTATAGCTGTTAAATATTGTCATCGTATAACTTTAATACAAAACAAAATGTGCAGCCAAGTGACAAAAGTTTATAGCTATATTCCAAAATAAGATTCCAAAAATTACCATAAAGTTTTAACCAACGTGAAAAGAGCTTAAAGTGTTTGCTTAACACCTATGTCGAAATAGCTCAATCGCTTAGGTCTACATTAACCAAAATGGATCTATACTTTATACACATCATAAAACTCAAAATCAGAAATAAACCACACGATCTCCCAAAATATCTGATTTTGATAAATGAGCATATATTTATAACTTATATTCCCTATAATTACTATATAACCCATTTGGCTGCTTTGCTAAGTGATCCACTTTATAGGGTTATTCAAATATCTGCCTAACTTTATGCACGCCTTAACCGAATGCGTACATTCTTTTACTTTAAAAATATTTATTGGGCACTGAAATGAGACTAAACAAGTCTCCTTTGTTGTGAGATTATCTCCCACTGATCCTTGGGTATGTACAATCATTAACTTTGTTTATCTCAAAGTGCATATGAGATAATTAACTTAGGATTGTAACATCATTAACGGGAGTTTTAATTTCATTAATGGACTACTTTAGTTCACAATCAATATCCTTCAAATCTTTAAATATTAAGATTGTATGGTTGCACTTTATTGTTCCATAAATGTTACCATTTGAGAAACATATTCCTTTTGTCCATAAATTTCTTAATAGAGTCGATATGAGTGAAATCTTTAAATGACTAAACGTACCATATATCTTTCAATATTGCCCATTTGAATTACATTTGGTCTCAATTATTTGTAACCAAAGAAATTCACACCTTATGGCATTTCGATAAGATCCTAATGTCTTGTCATTCTAAATTTCAACTCATCTTTAATGCCTTATTCTCTTAAGGTTGTTGAGTTTGCTCTCAAGTGACTATTACCAAAGCTTGATTAGGAATTGTTCAACATTGTCTTATCAAAACTCTAAATCTACTTTTCAAACAATGACTAGTATAAAAACATGTACATTGTCAAAAGAAGTATTAGAAATCGAATTGATTCCTCTTTAAAGACAATGTCTCTAATCTAAATTTCTCCCCTCAAACTCAACATCCTTAAAAGATTTTAAACTTCCCCTTTTAAAAATAATATATTGCAGCCCTTAATGTTTCTCCTAAGTGTACCTTAGCGAAGAATAATGACTTATCATACTTCTTTGAATGTCCTTGAATGTTCTTTTCTTAAATTTTGTACCATTTAAATTGCTTATGCAAGATTATACTGGAAGAGACTTTTCTAAAATTATAAGTTAAATTTTGAATTATAAAATAGACCAAGCTTAATATTTCCAAATGAACAAGTTTACCGAATTTGTTCAAGAGAAAATTTAAATCCATCTAATGATGGTACCAAATGTCTATTTCAAATTCAAAAGAAAACCTAAGAGTTCTTACAGCATCAATCCCAAGTATCTTACATAACCTTTATAGATGTATCTTTCAACATCAATTGAATATTGGTTATGTAAATAACCCTTTATATACACACTTACGTGAATAGTGTAACCCAGGATCTATTCACTAAATGTGTCTAGGTACAAAGTCAAAAAAATATATTAGAACATATTAAAGTGAGAAACAAGCATAATTACGTAATTCAACGTACCTGAGATGTAAACTGCAATTATAAATATTTATCTTAAGCTGTACTAGTCAAATTAGCACTTAGTCTTTTCTCCCTTAATTATTTATTTTTCTTGTGTACGGTCACCAATTTATTTCTTTATGTTTTACAAAAAACCTTATATTGACCGTTCATGGAGAAAAATAAATTAAACCATATCCACTTTTAAGTCAGCGAAACCACACTAACCGAAGTGCTATAACTGAAAATGAGATTAGACTATTACTTAATGTGCTCATTTATGTTCCTTTTCTTTATACCTTATTAAAACAATAGATGTCAAAATCTAATTTGTTCTAGCTTTATCGTTTTAAACTAAAACGTATCCGTACTATCTTTAAGGAACCTTCTAGTACGTAGTCCAAATTAAACCTTATGCCCCCGAAAATTATTTAAAATAGATGCACCTAATGATCTTAAATTTTAGCATTAGAACGATGATATACTCTAGGTTCTTCTATTGTTCTACCCAAGATAAAAAATTAAGATCTATGCACCATAACAAATAATAATAATAATAATAATATTTGTGCAACTAAGCACAAATGTGTTATAGGCAGATAATGTGTAAGCAGATAAATAAATTAAATAGAGAACGTAAATAAAATCAATATGCGCACATTATAATCCAAAGTTTGACTTTGAAAACTTTAAATAATTATGGAATACATCTCAAGATGCCTAGCACAACATTAATATCAAGCCGAGAGGACAATAATATTAACTGTAAGTGGCACTCTTGTTGTAGTAATCAAACATTGATAGTAAATCCTGTCAAATAATAAGTTCATCGAGGGATGTAACTATCATTCACATGGAGCTCAACAACCATCACATATTTATTACCACATATGCATATGTGGTTCCGCCAAATATCAACATACCGAGGGGTATAGTTAATATTCGCATGAATTCACATACACACAATCATCTTGACAATCTCAATAAGCTAACCTACGCAGAGAGGTCACGAGGGTGGCTTCATGCTTCAATTAGTTCTTTTAAATGTCAGACAAACTTAATAACAAGTCATTAGATGTACCCAAAAATTATTCAAAAATTTAAAGTCGTTGTTGAACGCTAAGGCTCTAAAGATATCACCTGAGCGCTAACAGTCTGTATGCAACACTAAGGTTGCCTCACTATATTGTTTTCGAATCAAACTCAGTAATATGGTTATTCTTAAACATGAGTATGAATTGAAAAACATCAAATCCATCTTTATTTTGAATTTGAGCTAAAGATTATGTGGGACTCACAATTCAACTTTATTTAGATTTAGAGGCCAAAATAAATTTTAACCAATAAATCTAACCTTATATGGATTAGAACTAAATTAATAAACTTATAATTAGACTTAAAATTAAAGCCTTGAGTCAAATATCGAAAAAGTCAATCCTTATTTGGTTAATAATAACCATTATCCATATTTTGACTCAATAACGATGAAATGACAATGGATCAGAAGCTTATTAAAAAATTAATTTGTATCCTTAATTTTGACCCATTACTCAAAAATTTAAGTCTAAACGGCATAAACTTTATCATCTGAAATTCCCCAAATTAATCCTTATAAAACCGAATTTGAAATTCCAAATGAATTTCACTTTAATGACCAAACAAAACCTTAAGTGAATTTAAAAGAATTCACATATTAGTTCGGTCCCTCAAAATAATTGAAATATTTTAAACGCCCCCAAGACCTTAAACTAACTTTTTATTCCTTAAAAATTGCCTTTGCCACAAAACCAGAAAATCTTTCAACTTAAAGGACTGAATTGAAATTTTAAAAGAAAAGCCTTTGAGAGAAAAGGGACCTAAGATTCAGAAATACTTAATTTGAGATTTATAATATATTTTCGAAAAATATATGACTGTTTTGGGAGAAACTTAAAAATGGGGACTGAAATGCAGTTTTCGAAAGCTTGAGGGCTGTTATACAGATTTTTCATTATTTCAAATTGACCCCGGCTCAAAATCAGGAATAACCAAAAAAAATGGGCCAAATTGAAATATTGCTAAATATCTCAAACTTAAATTTGGGGACAAATTACAGAAACCCTAAATCTGGGACCCAATTGCAATTTCCCAAAAACTCTTTAACCTGAATTCACCCCCATTCATCCGCCGTCACCAGTCACCACTCACCACCTAAATCTCCTTTAGACTTTACAGCCAATCAACACCCAGTCCACCACCGTCGCCGGAAAATACCAAATTCCGGCTCATGTCTACGCGGCGGAGTCCACCGCCGGCGATCCAATATGCTTCCTTCGGCGAATCGCGCCGCCTGAAATTGCGAAAGACATGGCACGAATCCTTCTATCCGCCTCCGGAGTTGCGAGGACGATGGTCGGCGGATTTACCCTTGTCGTCGACGAGGAGTGGCGGCCGAGAAACCGAAGAGCCGTCAACTCCTTAGCTGAATCGCGACGGCATGTTGACTGAATTTGGGGTTGACTGGTGGTGGTCGGAGGTGGATGATGGGCCGTGGTGGATCCTTAGGGGTGGCTCAGCCGGGAAGACCTAAACAGCTGCCACCCTCACCATCGATTGAATTTCAGATTTGATTCCTTCATTCTTAATTCTTAATCTTAATTTAATTCATGAGAATTGACTTAACCATAAACCATTACATCAAAAACGGAATCAATCAATAACAATAGAACAATTTCAAATAATTGAATTGTAATTCAGATTCGGTTCGCATAAAGAGACAGAATCAGATATGCAATTCAGAAATTAATACGCATTTAAGATTCAATACGAACCCTAATTTCAGATTCAATGTCAGACCAAAATTCTTACATCTTAATTCAGGATTACATAACACAATTATGGATTCAGATTTCGATAACAATTTACATAATTAAATCCATAAAATCATATCTCATATTACACCTAAATCCCCGATGATTAATACATGGTGGCTCTGATACCACTTGTTAGAAAATTTATCGTACATACATACGAATTCCCAAGAACCAACATGCTTGAATCAACGAGAATTAAACATAAACATAAACACGGAAGCGTACCTTACATAACGGAATCGAATCTTCGAATCTCCACTGGATTTGGGACAGGTCTTCCAAAGAATCCGCAGTTCCTTAATTATCTCTCTAACGATGGATTTTAGAAGAGACAGAATGATTGCGTTTCTTTGGGGACCACGACCCTTTATATAACTGTAGAGTCCAGTTATATTATAATTGTGATTCAGCCCCATCAATAAATCACAATTAAACCCTAATTGTCTCTACACATTAGGCCCATAATTATAGTCTAATACCCATAAGTCCAACCCAATAATCTTTATTAGATCACAATTAATTTGGACTTTCTTTTAGATAGCCATACACATTTATGTCACATATGTGAGCCCACATAATTATTGAAATAATTCCATCTGCTATAGCCACATAACTTGTACACTTTAAGATGCTGGTGGGAAAAACTCGCAATATACTTCACTCTCGTAATAACAAAAATCGACGGATCCAACCGCTGTAACTGCATATGAAAACAGACGCCAAAAAAATAGGAATCTAAATAAATTCCTAAAGAAAGCATATATCTAGCCAAACAGCCCCCTGCATATGTAAAGTTCTTCACAATCGCCAACATACATATATATAAATAAAAACATACCTTTAAAACAAATTCTTGCAAGTGGGGAGATGCCATTAGCAAATGGGTGAGTCCCGTAATACTTGCGTAAATATTTGGACGATAAGTCGCTTGCTTTCTTATGACCACCACCAACTTCTTCAATTTAGGCAGTTGAAGAATGGCGGAGGGAAGAATTTCCTGTGAGATCAATCAAAAGCTTAAACTATTAGTGAAATGCATTATTTAATATTAATAATACCCAATACGTCCCCTGATCAAAGTGCAGACGAATTACATTTAAAGCCTTGCACTTGAAATATTTGAAATAGAACAAGAAACAAATAATTCTATTGTCTAACCTCATCTAATGTCACCTCCAGCGTAAGAATCTCCAATTGGAAAACGTAGCAAGAAAATGCAGAAAGCATGTCTTTGAGAGAAACTTGAAAATATACATGACAAACGGACACCTCAACAAGCATCGGAACATTCTCAAGCAAGAGATTTTCTACTTTCTGAAGAGTAAGTGAGGTGAGATTCGGGGCGGAAACCATAACGGATTTCAAATTGTAGCAGCGGGTTAACTTCAAATGTTTTAAAGCAAGGATTGGACTACCACAAGCTTCAATGTTTAATAATTTCAACGAGCGATCGACAACCAATTCTTCGAGCAAGGGGCAGTTACTTAGCAAAAACTTAATATCTTCCTCCGTCACATCAACAGATTTCAAACACAATACTTTGAGGGGCTTGAAGTCAATTTCGGAACTAGTATTTTGAGTGAGCAACTCTTGGGGTAAAGAACAATTAACAAGGCTCGATTTGCTAAGATCCAACTCTAACCTCTGCACGTGCCTCGCAAATGCAAATTCAATCCATCGGTTAACATCCTTCTGGAATGTTCTGCTCAACCTTAGACGGATTACGAAATCTTTCAAGATGGCTGCTTTGTGTTTTCTGATGACGGAATTCACCCATTTCACGTACTTTTCCTCTTTTTGTAAAGAATCGTGTGGATCAAAGTTGAGACTGTATGTATGTTTCCACAAGTTATGCCAACGAGATGAGAGAACACTAGTGCATACAGCTTCCTTGAGCGACAATAAAGATAGTAGATCAACGAGAATGTCATCGGGCAAATGACTTATCCGATCATTGTCACCGTAAATTATCT